CATTTTTGTTGATTTTTCAATCACGAGGGAGAAAGGAATGTGCAGTCAGTACATTTGTGTAACCAACTCAACCCCCCCCCCCAAAAAAAAAAAAAAAAACCAAACAAAAAAACCAAAAAAAACCCCGGAGAGTTGAAAACGTGGGGAACGTGAACCCAGTGCGTTGGCAGCTTTACTCGGGGACTGACCAGTTAGTCACAGTCACAGGCCCAGTTAGTCACAGTCACATGCCCAGTAGTCACAGGACAAACTAAAGTTTTTCACAGGCCTAGTTAGTCACAGGCCCACTATGAATTGAATTTTATTATTCAATTTTTGTAACGAAAGAACATTCATTGTTGAAATTATACAGAGTAATTTAAATTTGCGTTGATTTGCATACAAAAAGAAAGAAATATTGAACAACTCAAACTGAATTGACATTTTAGAGGGACTTTAGGGCCTGTGACTAACTGGGCCTTTAGTTTAGTGTTAGTAGAAGTTTTACGGCGTTCGCACCTGCAAAAGGTCATATGAGCGCCAGAAGACTAGAGGTGTTACAGGAGAGTAACAAACATAAAAAAGAAGAAGGGGAGATAAGGACGATAGATGTTTGATAGAAAAGAAGTAAACCACACCAGAGCACCCGCCAACCACCCACTAATTGGGCCTGTTCAAACTGGGCCTGTGACTAACTGGCATGCCTTCTAATTGTATACTATACTATTCATTGTTAGGAACCAGTGTAAGTATGCTCCCGAAGAGCGATGTTGTATATTTAGGGCCAAAATAAAAGGATGTTTTAACTACTTGATCAATACACATAATATCTTTAAAGACAATATATCCTATTTCTATTTGCTCGCTGGACTGCAGATGTGCCATGCAAAATTGGCGAACACACTGGTAAATTAAGAACTTATTTAACGCGTACAGCCTATAGTAAACAATTTATAACTTTCACAGTCTATTCATTATCTGCTGGTGTTGCGAATCGTTTCCAGGTAACACCGAATAACTCCGAAAAAAGAGTACCGGTACCAGTCTTTTTCTCTGAACGTCACAGAAAAACCATCACACGCTCGCAAACACTAAGAGACTCGTTTTAAAAACGAACCGGTTAACCGGATTCACAACTGGTTTAGACGACGGCTCCATGTTTTCTTGTCATTCACGTGAAAAAACTCAACTCGTCATGATTTCTCGATGACACGCACACCACGACTCGTCTTTCGTGCCCCCCCCACATGTGTGTGTGTGTGTGTGTGTGTGTGTGTGGGTGGGTGTGTGTGTGTGAATGTTGTGTAGCGTACAGTTCAGCGACCGGCAGTTATGGCGAACAGTAAGTTCATCAGATGATCCCTGAAAGTATTTTATTATTGTGACCGTTTGTGAGTTTTTATTGCATTCTTGAACAATATTTTTAGTTAACGCATTGCCAGGCCAACTGCCTGACTCATTTTCTCATATAAATTTTTTATATATGATAATCGTTATATAAATGTGAGGCAGCGTGGTGGAATCAGGCTCTCGTCAATTTTTAGGCATGTAGAGATATTGGTATCATCTTAAAGCTTGTTCACTTGCCTTTATTTATTGGATGAAAAAAAAAAATCCATTTATCTTGAATACAAGTCGAGATATTTTCGAAAGAAGGAGGTGGGGGGCATCTGTTTTCAGAGGTAAAATTAGTAAGAAAATGGCCGCCAAAGATTAGTCATTTCCTTAGCTTAAGAGCCCATGTTAACTGAAAATTTACATTTTTTTGTACCTTTAATCAACGTTTTTCAGAAAAATCCACACAGAAATGAGTTCTTTAATGGGCATGAAAGGTGTTAAGTAAAAAAAACAAAAATTTGATAAAAATTCACAAACCGGCGGAAAAATGGAAGTTTCATCACTTTGATTATTTTGACGAGAGCATGCCACCACGCTGCCTCACATATGATATAGATCTAGAAATCTAGATCTACGTTATATAAATGTATTAGATCTAGATCTATGTTTTCCGTAGCCTACACACTTAATAATGTCTATTACCCCTACCCCTGCCCTAACCCTTACCCTTACCTTACTTTTTCTCAGCACTGTTTATGACCATTATAATGTCAATGTGCTTCTCTTTACTCAAACAAACATAAACACTCTGTGTGGGTGGTTGGAGGGTCACTATGTCCTACTTCTTTACTTTCCTTCTGTTATTTTTGTCTGTCTGTGTGGGTGGTTGGAGGGCGTTACTAGTAGGTCCTTCTTTTCTTTCCTTCTGTTGTTTCTGTCTGTCTGTGTGGGTGGTTGGAGGGTGTCACTGGTAGGTCCTACTCCTTTACTTTCCCTCTGTTGTTTCTGTCTGTCTGTGTGGGTGGTTGGAGGGTGTCACTGATAGGTCTTACTTCTTTACTTTCCTTCTGTTATTTTTGTCTGTCTGTGTGGGTGGTTGGAGGGCGTTACTGGTAGGTTTTTCTTCTTTTCTTTCCTTCTGTTGTTTCTGTCTGTGTGTGTGGGTGGTCGGAGGGCGTCACTGGTAGGTCCTGCTTCTTTATGTTCAGTCTGTTGTTTCTGTCTGTGTGGGTGGGTGGTTGGAGGGCGTCACTGATAGGTCCTACTTCTTTACTTTCCTTCTGTTATTTTTGTCTGTCTGTGTGGGTGGTTGGAGGGCGTCACTGATAGGTCCTACTTCTTTACTTTCCTTCTGTTATTTTTGTCTGTCTGTGTGGGTGGTTGGAGGGCGTTACTGGTAGGTTTTTCTTCTTTTCTTTCCTTCTGTTGTTTCTGTCTGTGTGTGTGGGTGGTCGGAGGGCGTCACTGGTAGGTCCTGCTTCTTTATGTTCAGTCTGTTGTTTCTGTCTGTGTGGGTGGGTGGTTGGAGGGCGTCACTGATAGGTCCTACTTCTTTACTTTCCTTCTGTTATTTTTGTCTGTCTGTGTGGGTGGTTGGAGGGCGTCACTGATAGGCCCTGCTTCTTTTCTTTCCTTCTGTTGTTTCTGTCTGTCTGTGTGGGTGGGTGGTTGGAGGGCGTCGCTGATAGGTCCTGCTTCTTTTCTTTCCTTCTGTTGTTTCTGTCTGTCTGTGTGGGTGGGTGGTTGGAGGGTGTCACTGATAGGTCCTACTCCTTTACTTTCCCTCTGTTGTTTCTGTCTGTCTGTGTGGGTGGTTGGAGGGTGTCACTGATAGGTCTTACTTCTTTACTTTCCTTCTGTTATTTTTGTCTGTCTGTGTGGGTGGTTGGAGGGCGTCACTGATAGGTCCTACTTCTTTACTTTCCTTGTTATTTTTGTCTGTCTGTGTGGGTGGTTGGAGGGCGTCACTGATAGGTCCTACTTCTTTACTTTCCTTGTTATTTTTGTCTGTCTGTGTGGGTGGTTGGAGGGCGTCACTGATAGGTCCTGCTTCTTTATGTTCTCTCTGTTGTTTCTGTCTTCTCTTTACTCAAACAAACAAAAACAAACTTTGCGGGTGGTTTGCGGGTGCTCTGGTGTGGTTTGCTTCTTCTTTCCTATGAAACATCTATCGTCCTTATCTCCCCTTCTTCTTTTTTATGTTTGTTACTCTCTTGTAACACCTCTAATCTTCTGGCGCTCATATGACCTTATGCAGTTGCGAGCGCCGCAAAACCTCTACTAAAACTAAACTAAAACTAACTTTCTATATCTATTTCTCTCTTTTTCTTTCTTTATTTCTTTCTTTCTCTCTATCTGTGGGTGGTTGGTGGATGCTCCTTCTTTCTTATCAAACATCTATCGTCCTTATCTCCCCTCCTTCTTTTTTGTGTTTGTTTCTCTCTTGTAACACTTCAAATCTTCGGCACTTATATGACCTTATTGTGTTGCAAGTGCTGTAAAACTCTTACTAACCCCCCCCCCCCCCCCCCCCCAAAAAAAAAAAATTCATCTGTCACCTCCAGTGTAGACAACATCGCGGTCACTTTTGACGTGGAAGACTCAGCCTGGGACTGTGAGGTCACCGACAGACAGACGGTTGGCTTGGAGTGGCCCGCAATAGCTCAGTTGGTAGAGTGGAGGACTGTAGAGATGGTTGGCGTGGAGTGGCCCGCCATAGCTCAGTTTGGTAGAGCGGAGGACTGTAGAGATGGTTAGCGTGGCTCGATCTA